GACATAGACAGCAGGTGGGAGCAGAGCTGGGTACAGGCCCCCCAGCCCCACTGTGTGCCTGGGCAAGGGCAGGCATTTGTCCTGTCCTGCAGACCAGAGCTCAGTGGGTGACATGCCACCTCCCTCCATGCAGGTCAGGGGGCAATCCTGATAGTTCCCACAGCACACCGGTAAGGCCTGTCCCTGCTCCTGTCGTAAGTTCCCTGCTCTTAGTTTCTGCACCTCTGCCATAATGCACCATCCCCAGATACAACGAGCCCTGCGATCACTCAGCATCCCACTGGAGAGGCTGCATGTTATGAAGGGCCACATGATACAGGACATGTGCAAGGGGCTGAGCCGCCAGACACACGCACAGGCCAAAGTGCGGATGCTGCCCACCTACATCTGCTCCACTCCCAACGGCACGGGTAAGGCAGCCCAGCCTGAGGATGAACTGTTCTGCTACCGGCAACCCTGCACACCTCACTGGAGTTGACCTGGGAATGCTGGGAGGGGTAAACACTCTTGGATGAGTTATAGGGTCCATAAACTTCTCTGCCACTCCCCAGTGCAGGGGCAGTAGCCAGAAGCTTGTTCCCTTGGCCCCTCTGAGAGTCTCAGGCTCTCAGGATCTTCCTCCCTGGGTCAGTGATTGTTCCTGGGACAGGGCAAGGAGCAGATTTTGGGAGATCTGCCTGACACTGTCTCTGTTTCCCCATAGAGAAGGGCAACTTTCTGGTGGTGGAGCTGTGCCAGACCCAGGTTCGGACCTTGCTGGTGACCCTCTACGGAGATGGAAACTTGAGTCCTCAAATGATGTACAAGATCTACGAGCTGCCAGAGGGCATCACACGGGGCGAGGGGGAAGCGGTATGAGGAGGCCATGGCGAAGGGTGGCTGGTGCTGGGCTGCCCAGCATCACGGAGGCTCAGCAGGGCACCGGGCTGGTGTTGGAGCTCAAGGCTGCCTTTCACACCCTGGGTACTGAGCAAAGCAAGCAGCCCTTACCCCCAGTCATAACTTTGCAGCTCTTTAACTTCATTGCACAATGCGTGACCCAGTTCCTGTCTGAGACCACCAGCCCTGACACCGACTCTGAGCAATGCCTCCCCTTGGGCTTTGTGTTCCCCTTCAGTTGCCGACAGACACAGCTGAACAAGGTGAGGGGGAGAGCCCTGCCCCAGGCTGTGACCACAGCACAGCAGCCGTGGGGAAAGGAACCCTCCTGGTGCCAGAGGTCAATGGCTCTGCCACATTTTCTCCACAGGCAGAACTCCTCTCCTGGTCCAAGGGCTTCAACTGTAGTGGCGTGGTGGGGAAGGACGTGGTGGAAATGCTGCAGACAGCCATCGATAAGCACGCTGGGCCAGATAAGGAGGGGGAGGCCAGTGGGGGAGGCGGTTGGTTTAAGAGCAGGAAATCTTCTCAGTCTGCTCCTAGCCCGTCCCGCCATGTGGAAGTTGTTGCCCTGATGAATGACACTGTGGGCACCATGATGACCTGCAGCATGGAGGGGAGAGCCTGTGAGGTCGCCATGGTTGCAGGTGAGAGATGGGCACTGCACGTGTGTGGTGGTGCTGCTGGGGGGGCCGTGCTGGTGCTCAGCCCCATCACTCCTGCAGACAAGGGCTCCAACTGTTGCTTCATGGCCGAGGCGTACCTGGTGGAAACAACAGAGGAGACCAGCGGGCGGATGTGTGTCAACACTGAGTGGGGCTGCTTTGGGGATGATGGCACCCTGAAAGACCTTGTCACACCCTTCGATCAAGCTGTGGATGAGGAATCTTCCAACCCTGGGGAAAAGAGGTGCTATTTCTCCCACAGAAAAGACAGGCTCCCTATCTATCCCTGAGCATGTCAGGCCCCACCAAGAGGAGCACTCATTCCCCTGCAATGCTCCTGGGTGCTCCTAAAGGGCCAAGAGGTGCTGCTAGGGAGGCATGACTGACTCCTATGTGGACTCAAACTCACACAGGTTTGAGAAGATGGTGGGCACCCTATACCTGGGGGAGATTGTCAGGCATGTGCTGATTGCCCTGACTGCTGAGAAAGCTATGTTCACTGGGACTGATGCTGCTGTCCTGAAGGAGAAGGGAGTGTTCACAATGCAACATCTTCTGGACATTGTCAAGTGAGTGTCTGAGGACCAGGAGCTGTGGGGGGTGGGAGGATGGGGGGTGATGGATGGGTGTTCCTGCCTGCAGGTTGCTGCAAGGCTGTGATCTGCCTTCTAGCAACGACGACAGCATAACTGAAGTGAAGAGGATTCTGGAGGCGCTGGGGCTGCAGCCCAGCGAGCGGGATTGCGGCCGGATGCAGCAGATCTGCCGGGCAGTGATGGGGCGTGCTGCCACATTCCACGCCACTGGGCTGGCTGCCATCCTCAGCTACATGTGCCAGACCCGGAATTTGGAGTCGCTGATGGTCAATGTGGGGGTGGAAGGAGAATTGTTCGCAGGCTACTCCAGGTGATGAGGAACACAGGGCTCCCAGTAGGGTGCTACCCCAGTGGGATGCCTCACACCCAGCCCATGCTATCCTCTTCATCCTGGGCAGGTTTGAGGAGATCGTGATGAGTGTGTCAAGGCTACTGGCCCCTGAATGCATGGCCACCATCCTGGCCTCGAGAGATGGCTCTGGGCGGGGGGCAGCCATGGTGACAGCAGTGGCTTTGCGCCTGGCAGCCCAGCGCCGTGCAGTGAATGAGGTGCTGGGCCCGCTGCGGCTCAGCCGCGATGACCTGGTGAAAGTTCAGACACTGATGAGGCAGGAGATGGATCGGGGCCTGGGTAAGGAGACCAATGCCAGTGCCTCTGTCCGCATGCTGCCCACCTACGTTACTCACACACCTGATGGCACTGGTAAGGAACGGGGACACTGGCAGTGGGATGCTGAGGAGGCTGTGGCCCTGCTAATGCACTGTGCTGGCTCCCCACAGAGAAAGGTGACTTCCTGGCGCTGGACCTGGGGGGAACCAATTTCCGTGTGCTGGTGGTACGCATTGCAGAGGCTGGCATCACCATGGCCAGCGAGATCTACGTCATCCCAGTTGGTGTCATGCAGGGCAGTGGCGAGGAGGTGAGACTGAGGACCTGTGACCCAGTGGCTGGGGCGAGGGTGTGGGCATTGCCTCCCTACTTGCTCTCCATGGGGCCATGATGGGGCTGGGAGAGGCCCCCCAGCATTGCCCCAGCCTAGGCCATGCTCACCATGCTCACTCTCCACAGCTTTTTGACCACATCATCGACTGCATCATAGACTTCCAGACGAAGCAGAACCTGGTGGCACAGATGCTGCCTCTTGGCTTCACCTTCTCTTTCCCCTGCCAGCAAGTGGGCCTGGATAAGGTGAGGGGGTGGCTCCAGCACCAGGATGGTGGGAAGGACCCCAGGATGTGTGCTGCCCTGGCTCCTGATCTGGCCACTGTTGCAGGCATTGCTGCTGACCTGGACCAAAGGCTTCAGCGCCACAGGCTGCGTCGGACAGGATGTTGTCCAGCTGCTGCGGGAGGCTGCCAAGCGCAAACGGGTAGGGAATGTCTGGTGGCCTGTCCCTGTCTTCTGGGTAGGGGGACCTGCATCCAGACAGTGTCCGCCCCAGGAAGTGTCTGGATGCCACTAGATCACGTGTCTCCATCTCCTATTTGGCAGCACTTAGGGATGCAGGTGGTGGCTCTGGTCAACGACACAGTGGGAACCATGATGGCCTGTGGTTATGATGATCCCAAATGTGAAATCGGCCTCATTGTGGGTGAGAAGCATCTCTGCATCCAGGAAGTTCCCCATCTCCTCACCACCCCTCTACCCCCCATGGCATGGCCACATGCCTCTACCAGACCTGCTATGGGGGTGACACCAGCATGGGGCCTGCAGGGACAGGGACCAATGCCTGTTACATGGAGGAGATGAAGAACGTGGGCACTGTGGAGGGGGACCAGGGCCGCATGTGCATCAACATGGAGTGGGGGGCCTTTGGGGACAACGGCTGCCTAGACCATCTCTTCACCCACTTCGACCTGGTGGTGGATGAAACCACCATCAACCCGGGCAAGCAGAGGTGGGTGAGGGCCCTGGGGCAGAGGGGGTGGGAGCGGGTGGCTGTGCCTAGCTGAGGCTGTGCCTTGGATAGGTTTGAGAAGCTCATCAGCGGCATGTACCTGGGCGAGATCGTGCGTCAGATCCTGGTGGTAATGACAGAGAAAGAGCTCTTGTTCCAAGGGAAACCCTGCCCCAAACTCCAGACCAAGGACATCTTCAAGACCAAATTCCTCTCTACCATTGAGCTGTGAGTGTTGGGTTCCTATGGGTTCCCTCAACCCAGGGTGGGGGTATCAGAACACCAGGTGAGGAGCCAGGCTACATGATGTGGCACAGACGGGGTGATGGGGACTCTGCTGCTAACAATGGCATTGATCTGGACAGCAATGGGCTGGCCCTGCGGCAGATCCGGACCATCCTGAACGAACTGGAGCTCGATGCCACCTTTGAGGACTGCGTGCTGATGCGGGAGGTGTGCCAGACCGTGTCCCTGCGCGCAGCCCAGCTCTGCGCTGCTGGCTTGGCTGCTGTGGTGGAGAAGATGCGGGAGAGCCGAGGCGTGGACCAACTGTCTGTCACTGTTGGGGTGGATGGCACCTTGTACAAGCTGCACCCATGGTGAGTGGGACCAGGGGCGGCAGGCACCCATGGGGCATCCTTGCCCTATGAAGAGGTTTGTGGTGGGAGGTATGGTGTGCATAGGGTGGGAGCATCAGTCCTCACCCTCCCTTTCCATCCTGCCTAGCTTTTCCAACAACCTCCAGATGACACTGAAGGACCTGGCACCCAAGTGTAATGTGACGTTCATGCTGTCAGAGGATGGCTCAGGGAAAGGGGCCGCGCTCGTAGCAGCTGTGGCCGATCGCGCTGCCAAAGCCAAGGAATAGTCACCATTCCAATAAAGCTCTCTGGTCTGCATCTCCAGCTTCTGGGGGGATCATGAGGGGTGTGGGGCAGCGCATGGCCGGGGACAGCCCCACATAGCAATATATATCGAATTTATTTACATTCACGTCCGGCAGACCCCCCGCCCGCGGCACCGCTATGTACATAAGGCCAAGTGTAAATACTTGAATGCACTTAATACAGAATTAAAAAAACGGGCTTTACACAACACGGCACGGGGCCCGGGGCCACCTGGCCCCACACGCAGACACCACGACGGCACCGCACGCACGACGCACACCCTGTGCCCCCCCAGTCCCCCACCATGGGGCTCTGGGACCCCAGGGCTGGGCTGAGTCCCGATGCCACAGTGCTGGAGGGGCCTGACTGCCATGGGGCAGGGGCATCCTGCCCTCCCAAGGGGGCCAGGTAGCCCTCCTCGTGCGCTGTGGGGCAGTAGGAGCCTGGTGGGCCAGCCAGGGCCCCCCTTAGCCCCATGGTGGTGGTCCCCTGGGACCCACCATGCTCAGCACTCAGCCTCCGAGAAGAGGGCACCGTCCTGCTTGCCGACCTCGGCCACGGCGGCAGCCAGCTGGGAGAGGTTGCCATTGGGGAAGTGCCGTGCTTCCCACAAGTTGAGGATCATGGCTGTAGGGCTGGCCTTCGAGGCGAAGAAGCTGAGATGGCTGGAAGTGGACAGAAGGACCATGTCAGGGCACAGGGATGGCTCCACATCCCATTATCAGCCCCGTGCTAGCCTCACCTTGTTCAGCAGCCCTTTCCTGGGATCTCACAGCATTCCAGCATCCATCCATAGGTGCAGGATGAGGCCAGAACCCCTGCCCCCATCCAGCATACCACTCATGCCCAGCACTGTCTTCAGTCTGCATTACCTGTCAAGGTTGAGCTTTTGTGCCAGTGTCCTCCAGTCAGCTCCCCGTGTGCCCGGCGGGTCCAGGCTGCTGATGATCTTTTGGCGGATGAGGAAGGGGATCTTGAAGGCACTGGGGCCCACCAGAGCCGGTGTGCCCACCTCGTCGGGGACCAGCCAGTCTGAAAACCTTGTGTCCTAGGGGAGAGCATGAGCAGGGAGGGAAGGGGATGTGAGGCAATGCTATGGCCACCCCAAGGATGGCCCAGTCCTGCCCTCACCTTGGCGATGTTGAAGTTGACGGTGAAGCTCTGCCCGTCTCCCTCCACCTGCCAGACCCAGATCTTGCAGGCCAGCTCACAGGTGCTGGTGCTCAGGCGCTCCAGGGTGAAGGTGCAGTGCAGGAAGGGCTGCAGCCCGCTCCAGATGTGGTAGAAGGGGATCTCCTGCAGTGGCGTGACAGAGCTGGGGGGTGTCAGAGTTGCAGGGACACCTCCCTACACCTCTATCCAGATCCCCACACACTGGCCAGACTCCTCACCTGGTAGCTGGCGAGGAGCTTGCTCTTCCAGAGGGAGCTGGGCATATCGTGGATGGAGAGGCGCAGGTTGTGGTAGCTGTCCTTGAAGTGCAGCACCCGGGGGGCTCCGATCAGCTGCCCTCCCAGCTGCTTCTCCAGCTGGATCACCTCCTGCCAGCACAAGCAGCGGTCAGGCAGGAGATGCCGCACACCAGGAGCGCAGCTCTCGCTCCAAGCCGGGATGGGCAGGTTGGGGACCCCGGTACCTTGAGGACGTCCTGGGTGTCACTGAGGCAGTAGACACGGATGTTGTACTCGAGTGAGGGGCAGGCGGCCGGCGCGAACAGGACCAGCTTGAGGCGCTTGGAGGCTGCCATGCTGAGGGACTCCCCGACCAGGGCAAAGCGCCCCAGCTGCTCCGTGAACACGTAGCAAGCCTGCGCTTCCAGCTGGCAGTAGTACAGCTCTGTGCACGGCTCAGCACCCAGCTGCAGCACGTCCTACCGGGCACAGATGCACCTCAGCCCTGGCTGTCCCTCCTCCATCCCTGAAACCCCTCGCCCCTGCTCACCTCCCACGTGCCCTCGCACGACTGCTTCTTCAGCCGGATGCTCCAGTTCTCAGCACTGGCTTCCACGCAGTGCCCCATGGCCAGGATGGCGGGGCGGGTGAGGAGGACCCCGGGGGGGCCACAGCTGACAATGGGGCTCAGCAGCGTCTGGCAGCCAGCCAGGGGCAGCCTGGGGCAGCGATGGGGGCAGCTGAGTGAGGACGGAACCCCGTCCAACAGCCCCGTGCCCCAGCAGCCCCAGCACCTACCTCACCTCCTCCTGCTTGTGCAGGGTCAGGTAGACCTCATAGATCTTCCCCCGTGGGATGGCATCGGGTGGGATGAGCAGGCTGATCCCTGGGTGGGAGTGGGGGTGCAGGCAGGGGGTGAGCCCCATGAGGAGCCTGCCTGGCCTGGGCAGTGCTCTGGAACCCCCACCCCGCTGTACCTGTGTTGGGGATCATGAGCCTTCCCCCCAGGAAGTTGAAGGTGCCATAGGCCATGTTGTTGGTGCCGCGGGGCAGCGAGCGGAAGTAGCTCTGCGTGGAGAGCCGCGCCACGAAGTCGGCACCCTCGGCGGCGGGCGAGCTGTGGTGCAGCGTGTGCCGTCCAGCACCCAGCGGGCTCAGCAGGTGCCCGTTGGGCAGCTGCAGCTTGGCAGGGCCGTCCTGGCGTGGGCAGAGCGAGCCCTGGTAGGTCATGGTGGTGGTGCTGAGGTCTGGCTGGATGGTGAGCAGGCTGGGGTTGTCTGCAGCACAGAGCAAGCGACTGTGGTGCCAGGGCAAGGAGGAAACAGGGGGTTCCCAGCAATGGTACACGGGCACAATCAGATTGAGAGGGCATGGGGCACACAGTCTCTGCCCCATAGTGAGGACCCTGTAGGGCACAGTCACCACCCCTGGGGATCTGACCCTATGTGGCGTAGAGCACTGATCCCACAGTCAGGGACTCTAAGATGCAGAGTTCCTGTCCTTAGGTCAGGGATCCCATAAGGGAAAGAATCAGCTCAAGACCAGGGACTCCACAGGGCACAGACCCCCACCTGTAGGCACCTGAAGCAGACAGCCCCTGCCCAGAGACCCCCTGGCAGGTATGGCCACCTGCAGGTCCAAAGGACACCATGTCCCAGTGTGGGTGCACTGTCCCTGCAGCACTCACTCACCAGCCTTGCTGGGTTTGATGCTGACGGGCTGGAAGCCGGCGGTGAGGATGGAGGAATCAGCCACATCAGCATCCAGGCCCCCCTTCTTGCGGCAGTACACCAGCACCCCCACCAGCAGCAGCAGCA